TAACGGCCGTCGAAAATATTGTTTTTTTTTTTCAGACCGAGTATTTCGGCGTGTACGCGACAATGCTCGTGTTCGGCATGACGGCGCTGGCGGCAGCGGCCATYACCATGACATTGCCGGAGAGTAAAAACATCAAATTGCCCGACACCATCGACGAAGCCAAAGGGATCGGTAGCGACGTGAAACCAAAAAACATTGGAAAAAACTCACCGTAGAGTTCCTATTACCACTACAATATTGACAACAATTATCATGCATGACTAACACAGTACCCCAATACGGTCGATTTCGACATGGTATTATTGTTATTATACGTTCATATACGCGCCCGAGAAACGTTTTTTTTTAAGCGTCGCACCAAAGTATAGGTATTATAATATAACACACAATATTGTTGCGTACGCGGACCACCAGTTAATTTACCATGCGCGTCGTCTGCGGTTTCCGGATCGGGGGGGTGCACACTCGTCCGAAAGAGGGGGTGACTGCTGATTACGCCCTCAGTAATCCCGATGACTTAATTTTAATGATAAAACGACTTGGTATAATTATTACCGTGTACCTATATATATATATATATATATATTATTATTATTATAACATTGTAAGTTAAATTCGCGCTGTTCTTTATTATAATATATTATGTTTAGTCTAGCGGCTTTGTGATCAATTTTAGCTCCTTTTTATTTCAGTTATTCTACAAACGTCTTATAACACGGTTGTAAAACATTATTTGTAAATACCACTCATATAATTTAACTGTTTGAACCTAATGTGTAGATACCTAATTTAATGGCGTAGAACTTGGTACAGCTCGACTCTGTATGCTCTAAAAATCCTATTTGAATACCATGATAATAATATTATATACTTATATTATACGAATTTGTATGTATGCTAAAAATAAATGAACAAAATAAGTAAATCTCAGCCTGTTGTTTTATATGACTTTGGCGCTTCCAATTATTTGCTCAAAAAAAYAAAATTAACTCGTAAATAAAAATATTATCTTTTAGTTAGGTCGTTGGGTGCAACAATATTGTATACTATTTTAAAATACAGTAGTTTTAATTAGCTCGATTGTATTTAAACGCTATCAAGTGAATAATTGGTAAACGTGATGGTTAGCTTTGATGTTATTGGAAATTCAAGCAATTCATACATATTTTTTATTTCAAATTTGACAAATGTTAAAACAATGTTTAAATTACAATTTCTTCGTATTCCATTTGATTTGCTTTAAGTTTCACAAACATTTGTATATTATTGTTATAAGTTGTAACATATAAATTTTTGAATCTTGACAAATTTTTTTTTTTTTTTTGTTATACACTTATTTATAAGACATGTACATAATTTTTAAAAAAATAAGAAAAATTTGGAAATTAAATACTTATGTTTTATAAATTATTTATCTTAAGCTAAATACTCCATTACCATTCTTTTGAAAAAGTGTTATATATTTTTATTTGTCATAACTTAAAGATTATTTTCAAGTTCTTAGACAAAACTGATAATATTCTGTTAACACGTCAAAATATTAACAGTTAGATGGTAATATTTAACAGCAAAACACTTTCCAATAAATATAGTTATAAATTAATTATAATTTATAAGTATATCATTATTAATTTTGGATGAAAATATTAATCTTGAGCAACTAAGATTTGTTAAATGCATTCAATCACAATGTCATTTAATAACACAAGATTGAAGTTACCATTAAAAATTGATCCTTAAAAATTATCACAAAGTGTATGTTAGATTAGGTAGTATTTTACATTACGAGTAATTTAATACTGACAATCACTTGTTCGGAAACAGATCAATGTTTGATACTATGATTTTATGAAGTACATAAGTGACTTTATACACCAAATAAAAAATTTAAAATACTGATTTAAACTATAGAATAGGCTATCATTATTTATAAATTATTCCAATATATAAATAAATTCTATATAGCTATTTAAAATATAATTGTTTTACCTTGAAAAGAAACTATTTTCTTTTGGGATTTATTGTTTTAGTTAATTAAGCTCAACAAATATATATATATAATCTTTTCTATGTGCAGCTGTTAAACCACAATTATTCAAACGACAATAATGGCTTTCAAAGAAAATTAATAGCTATTTGATAGCATTTTGTAAATAAATTACAAGAAAAATAAAATAATTGAGTTTTCTAGAAAATAAAAATAAAATAAAAAATAATTAAATAATTAAGAATCATTTTAATTTATTTATTAGAATTTTACAAAATTGATTCTTAACATTACAAGTAAAAAAAATACTTAGTATTATTATTAAGAGTTAGTAACTTGAATTAGTGGGTAAAAAAAAGATACCAAGTGTGTACAACAAAAAATTATGCATCATCATCATTATCAGGTGCACGTCCACCAGGTGCTTTTGGACCGCCAGCTCGTTTAGCCATTATAATCTGATCAACTTTTAGTATTGTGCATGCAGCTTGTGTGGCATACTGCAAGCCCCAAAACTTAGACAAGTAAGAATCAAAAATGCCAGCTTTGGTGACATCTATTAATGATGATCCTTTAGCCTAAGGAAATAAGAATAATTACAAATTAATTAAGAAAAACAAAATAACATACAATAAACATACAATAAACATACTTCAATATTAAAACCAGCATTTTTATTTCCCTTGCTATGTTGCGAATAAAGTTCAGCAAGAGTTTCATTGGATTTCACACCAGTGTTATCAGCTAAAATTTTAACAAAACCTTCAAGAGCAACTGCAAACCTTTTGGCACCATATTGTTCTAATCCGGGCAGTGTATCAGCATATAAGCCAACTTGGTAAGCAAGTTCCATTTCTATGGCTCCAGCACCAGGTAATAATTTTCCATCCTAAAATAAGATTAAAAACATTTATTTATACATTCAAAATATTAAAACGATTTTTAACTTTAATTTAACTATAACATACTCTGGAAATTCCTTTGAAGGTATTAACACCATCATCAATTGCTCTTTCTATGTCATCCATGAAGTTATCAGTGGCTCCACGTACAACAATTGTTGACATACGAGAGTCTTTACCATCCAAACGGAATACTACTAACGAAGTGTCTCCAAGTTCATCTACATATACACAGTCAGCATATCCAAGTTCTTCTTTGTTTGGAGGGGTCTGAAGAAACAAAAATAATAACCATGTAAAATTTTTAAGTTTAAATCAATAAATAGTATTTTTAATTGATTTTGAAGTATTGATAGAATTTCATAAAAAAAACTGAAAATATTAAACAATTATAACAACTAAAATTATTTTTATTAATTTAAAATTAAATGGAACTACTATTTTTTTATTATTATTATTATATTATATTCAGCACAGGTGGTGCTATTACAAGTAACTATTTTCTTTAAAAATTAAATCTCTGCTAAGAATATCTGATACAGTTTTGATTTTATAGTTCCATCTATTCACACAATATACACGTGAATTGTCATGTATATAAGTATAATTTAAAGTAGTATAATCACAGAATAAAAATTAGGAAACCAAAATAAATTTTACATGGATTTTAAAGACTTTTATGGAAAGTGATCAAAACACTTCAAACATATTGGATTATGAACAAAAATCTTTAAAGTAGCCTTATTTCAAAATATTATTTTTGGAAATATTTTCCAATATGATATCCACCAGATAATAGATAATAACCTACAAGATAAATTCCTGCCAGTTAAGACACTAAATAAAGGTATTTGGTTCTCTTATGTGTACATTTCTTCATAAAGCSGAGTCATAAAGTTAGTTAAGATTAACTTATAAAACTTGACTAGTTTTTAACAGTGTAGATGAAAAATATAAATGCCGTCATCAACAACAAAAAAATTTGAGTAACCATAGTCTCGACAATGGGGTGGTAGTCTAGCCCTAGATAACAGAACCACGGTATTTGGGATAACGGAAAAGTACCAAACAAAGTTATGGCATTTGTGCATAAATACTTACAAGTCTGGGTAAAGCAGTAGCTGAAACCGATTTGCACAATCGCCTTAAGTCAAATTTGCTCATTAATCGTACACCCATAATTTTGTATTTGTTTAAATAATGTAAAGCCATGTCTCCAAATTTACCACCAGCAACAATTACAGTGACACCTGCATCAGCAATTGCTTTGATTTGTTCTTCAAGCACCATTTCTTCACCACGGCTGAAGTTTTGCAATTCATCAGCGGATTTGATTAAAACTGTTCCCTAAAATAAAGAGTTGAAGAATTAAATTATAAAAAAACCTACATTTATTTATGATATAGTTATTAAGAGCAACATACTTTTGTCTCAGTTGTAGTAATGTCAATGGGACATGTATATACAGCAATTTTAGCGTCAGTCTGTTTAGTAATATCACCTTCATTTGTACGTTTGAATACCATACCGTTAACAACAGTAGAATTGAATAAATTTGATCCCTAAACAAGAAAATTAATAAACATAAAATATAAGTAATACTAATAAAAGTATAATATAAATAATAATTACCAAAATTTTGCACACTCTAACATTGTCAACATTGAAAGTTGTCTTTTCTGGCAGAATAGAAGCTGAAAATATTGTTTCAAAACACTTTAATACAAATAAAAAATTAAATCATGAGATTAAATATAATGCTTACTGCAAGCTTTTAACACTAGATCTGTGATAAATTGTTCTTGGCCATACTGTTTACTCATAATCGATGATTTTACAGCTTGTGTTATAACTAATTGTTCAGCATTATTCTTGATGTCTTTAATTTCATGACAAGTCAAGGTAGGCAGTAACTCAAGAGTTTTATCAAGAGCTAATTGGAAACCTTCACACACTTCAACTGGAGTTAATCCCTTTTAATCATCAAAAATTAAATAATTATAAAGGATTGATTAATAAATGTCAAGAACAAATGAGTACTGACCATTTTCAATAAGTGTTCAGCTTGTTCTAACAATGCTCCAGCAAAAATGATAACAAAGTTGGTTCCATCACCTACTTCTTGTTCTTGCATTTCAGACGCGAATACAATAATTTTAGCAGCTGGGTGTTCAATCTACACAAATAGATGGTACATCATAAAAAAAAAAACTGATACATTTTATATGAATACTTACATCGAGCTCCTTCACGATTGTGGCAGCATCGTTAGTGATGAAAATCTTGTCAATATGATTTATGACTATTTTGTTCATTCCATTTGGGCCAAATGCAGTTTTAACAGTGTCAGAGAATTGTTTACAGGCACTTATGTTTCGGTAAACTGCTTCTTCGAGACCGGAAAGATGCTAAAAACACATTAACGCAATCCAAACGTAGTCAATTAGTACATTAAAGTATTTTGTCATTAGTCATGTTCGCAGGACACTCACCATAGCACCATCCTTTAACATTTGAGCAAAACCCGGAGCTTTTGGAACGTGTAATGCCATTTTAATAAGTCTTTATTKTACTATAWCGTTAATCAAATGTATTTAATAAATAATGAGRATTAAAAAAATATTACTTTATAATTTATACTTTGATTTACTTGTAGCTAGCAATTTAAATAATTTTTTACTCAAAGATTTGGAATATATCGTGTTTTTGAGGTTAATGTTTTTATTCATGATTTCGATTATCTCCTTTACCGGATACGCGGTTGAGGGGGTGTGTCCCGATATACTGCAACAATGATTCTCGACAACAAAAGAAAAAATATAATATCGCAATACCTATAAATATTCAAATATTATTAATATTATATAATATTATGATACCTATGATATTGTCCATGACGTGCAATTCGAATATTATTGAAAATGTCCAATCGTTAATAACACTATTACTATTCAATAAATGTCTGAGAGACTGAGAATAAATATCATATTATTATCACAGTTAAAGATATATCTTYGATCGTGATTATTATTAGTTTTTTTAGGTAGATAAGATTTTGTAATGGATAAAGGATAATGTCCATCTAATTGTTGGTACTTTGTGTTTGTATATGTTATTATGTTAATAATATTATGATTTTTTGTCATTTAATGAATTGATGATTGTTGTTTTCATTAATTCCATACATGTAGCAAATTTGTGAACTGATAAACTAAAAACATATTATTATAGGTATCGATGTGTCATTCAAAATATACTTCATTGTTTTAATATCCTTAGTAAAATCACCAATTCTCCACCTTATATCTCAAACGTAACATTACACACCGATTTAAAAACTAAAGCAGTTCATGAAGAAGCACTAAAACCAGTACCTTATTACAAAATTATTCCACTACAAACTTGCTTCGCATAATATCAAAYCCCTCGTGCACTCATATTAAACATATTGCCACTCTCGAAATTCATGTAAGCCCCCTAAAAGGCTTAAAAAGAATTGGTTCCGAGATCTTATCAATGACTAATCTAAAGAATAATGTACATAACGAATTTAAATATAAAACAACAAGTAAGGGTAATGTTACCACTGGTGACTTCTCTCATCATATTAATCATGTAAAAAACTATCCACAAGATATTCTCATTGTCCCTAAAGGAACACATTATATATTATACCGTATAATGCATAAATAATAAATAAAAAAGGTCATTTGTTTTGAAGTGGATTTAAAACAGATTGTTTTTCTGTCACAATTGAATATTTAGGTATTTCCAATTAGTTTATATTTTATACATTCGAAATCCAATTMGATTTAATCTTTCAGACGAAATACAAAATGTATGAAAAATTTGTATATTTAAAGGGTTCCCAAACAAGAATTTATAATATTTATAAATTATAATATGTAAATATGTCGATCATAAATAAATACGTTAAACATATAAAATCCGGTTTATTTAGGCATACGTGTATACAAGTATTACAAGTTAGATATACCATATACATGACTACAYGAGTGATGACTGATGAGTGTWCATACATAAGCATAAATTAAATGTATAATATTATAATAGATGCAGATATTCCAGAAGACTTGGATAATGCTCCTTCTCTTATTTTATATTTTAGCAGAACCCCTATTACTACTGAGTACAAAARGAGTGGTTGTAGGGGAATTTTATATAGAATGAGTTTAAGGGAGTAATGTTAAATTTGAACGATAAAGACATGAAGTGACCTTAGTAGGTGAAATTTTGAGTTGAGCTTTGTGCGTTTGTCTTTGAGATGCGATAGCCATGTAAGAGTGTAAGACGTCTGTCGAATATCAAGCCAAGATAGGATTTCACTCCATTTGAGTGTGGGATAACTGTATAAGCTACAATAGCTATTATATATTATTATTACTTTAAGGATTGGTACATAATATATATTATTACTTTAAGGATTGATACATATATAAATATATTATTAATTATTATTACTATAGGGCAGGAGTCAGAAACCTTTTCGTAGGAAAGATCCATTTTTTTTTTTAAGTTACTAAACCATATGATATCCAGAGCCGTATAGGTTGTTCGGTCCAGGTTCCAAACAACCTTTTTATTTTTTATTACTTGCCATTTCCATTTTTTTAAATTAAATTTATATTTTTCGGTTCTCGATAATATTGAKGCATTTTTTAAAGAGCCACAGATTACATGTTAAAAAACCGCCCCTACCTACCCTATACCAGCGGCGTAGCCAGGATTTTTTTCGGGGAGGGGGGGGGCTGATCAATTTTTTACACAGCGGTGCATTAAATACCTATTAGCACGGCCGAAGCTATAGAAAACTAACAAAATAAAGATGACAATTTAAAATTAGTAAAATACAATTTAAGACTTTTTGAGTGAATATTGTAGACCATTGAAATAATTTTTAAATTTTATTAACATTTCGGGGGGGGGGTGCAGCCCCCTCAGCACTCCCCCTGGCTACGCCACTGCCATATACTCATGGTCAATCTTGAGTAACCATCAACGCGATTTTCAGTAAAGAATAGTGATCATGTATTCATGTATTTACACGATTGATCAGGACTGAAAATTCATATTTTTGAGTTGTGATTGATGAAATTCAAACATGTTAGAATTTTGATTGTCATTCAAGATTAACAATGTATGAAAGGTTTCAAGTATTGTTACARGAGAGCAGTTTGACCAATGGGGCTATTTAAATCTTCGAGGAATTAACGATTTTTATTATTTTTACTTATTAATATAATACMCATTACAAATTACAATGACAGACTCGATAACTAACTGCAACTGTACAACAGTCAACGGAGGAATACYCGCTTTTCAGTATTTTTCATATCAAAATAAATAAATAATATATTTATTCTTGTTTAGTTTTAACTCTAAAAAATGTTGTCAAACCAGTATTAAATACTATATTATTTAAACAAGCAATATAAAATTATAAAAAATGATATGGTTTATTTAAAACCAGTAACAAATAACAATGTCATCAACAAAACATCTATAACTTCAGTATTTATTTCTATACTAAGCTAACTATTTAAGACAATAATTCTAAGACTGTACCAAGAGGTACATCATAGACTCGATGTAGAGAAGATATAAATTATTTTCTCTACATATCGTGATCATGGGTTTCTTTTCGAAGGATTTCTATAGTCYTAATAGATATATAGTATATTTTACAAGAAATTAAGATCCGGTGGACCTCGGGTTAGGAGACCAGACTACCGGAGCCGGGCGGAGCGACTATATGCCCAATGCCCATATTACTTTCGTCCAATGTCCATGTTCATTATATCATTGATTATAAATACTAGTATTTATAATCAATGATTATATCTTTAACCGTGGTTGCGATGATAGACCAGTTACCAGTATACTTTATAACGAAGCCACGCCCCTGCGCACAAATCGTCCTCCGATTACCGTTTTTATTTTGAATTTAATATGATGGGTTTTACCGGGACGTATCTTCCAAAATAAATAATGTATAGCTCTATAATAATATTGTTGTGCAATAATTGTAAACGCAAAAAGCTAGTAAAAATAAAAATAATAATGATGAGTAATATCTAATTATGAAATACAAAAGTTATTTAGTATTATTTTATTATACAGTATACACAATATKATATTTTGTACCTATACCTAAATGTTTTCACGAAAATTAAATGAAAATATTCGACGGAAGAAACATTGCCAACTGCAGTTGCATACGACACCGAACAGAAAAGAAACGATTTGTGTTGGCAAACCCGTATTCCGTGTTGTCCGTTAATCGACATTTAACAATAATAAATTAATAATATTAATAATAATTAATATTGTCTGTCGTGAGCCGCCACTCGCAACGCGGTGACTCTTGTTTGTGTCGCGCTTGAATCGGAAGCCAAACAGGAAGAGTAACGGATCCGACATGGAATACTTCGAATACGACAACTTTTTGCACTACTCCAGTCGGCTGCTGATGGCCGACGTGCTGGGTGACGTTTACGTGGACTTTTCCAAGCTGAAATCGGCCAACAGCCGGTTCATGTTCACACGTGCCCTGCTTCGCAAACACAAATTACAGGTCGAGTCGTTGGACATCGACATGGAGTACGACGAACCCACCGTTTCGGCGAGGCTCCGACTAAACGGCAACGAGTTCTTCAAGGCCAAGCWGTACGAGAAGGCCGCCGACATGTACACCAAATGTTTGGAGGGCAGCGATTCGACCACTGAGTGCCACGCGCTCGCGCTGGCCAACCGGTCGGCCGCGTACTTCCATATGGGTCACTACGATCTTTGTATAAAGGACGCGCGCTGGGCCATGGGTTCCAATTACCCGTCCAGGATCGCGTACAAACTTTACGAACGGGCCGGACACGCAGAACGCTTGTTGGGCTTCGTCGAACGGGCGATACAGAGCTACGCCGTGTGCTTGACGCGACTGGACGAGTCGGACATGTCTGCGGAGAACAAGCGCAAGTTCCGGATAGAGATCGAAAGGGCCGCGAACGATTGCGAACAAGTGTTGGCCGAGCACAGAAGAACGATGAAAACACCCCGYCCTGACGAGCAACTGGTTGGTGGAAGAAACGAACACATTCCAGCACTATCGGCCTTTGTGGAACTGAGAATGTCCGAAAATATGGGACGAGGTGTTTATGCCACCCGCGACATTAATCCCGGTAAGTGACATTGTATTATTGTACCCAAGCTGTTATTGGTGATAAACGGTATAAAAAAAATTTAGAAGTATAATATTTCATTATGAGAGGATGGGCTTAAGTGCCTTAAAAAATAAAAATAAATGTCCTGAAAAAAGTACGACTTAGGTAATGTCTTAAAAAATGCTGTAAAAAACTTTTTAAATGTTTTTAAATTTAATAAAAACACAATTTTTAACTTAGAACTTATTCTAATGCATGAAGTTAACTCGTCAGTTAAATACAAAATTACAATTTAGCTAAATAGCTTATCTTATCTTTACCTAATTGCATGTAATTGTTATAACTTAAGTATGTATATACGTGTCTACACATGTCAATAACAATTTTGTCTGGGGTCAGAGTTTATCTGATCGGTAAAAACATAATAAATATTTATTTATTTATTTTTTTTTTTTTAATTAATGTTAATCTAAATTTTTATCGAATTTTATCCATTCCTATATAAAAACGACTTAAAGCATAAAAATGTCAAAAAATTCTAAATAAAAGGTACATTTTTTAATTCCTTAATATATGAAATAAACTTTGTGCTTAGAAATCAATGTATTCGGACATTCAGAAAAAAATTAAATTTGCATTAAAATCTGTTCCCTATTTATTAGAAATTACTGAGGAAATTACATAATACAATGAACTTGAGGTGCAAGTTTGAAATATCATTTATATTTATTTATATTTTTATTCTTATGTTTATTATTTCAAAAGAGTTTGACATAACATCAAATTTGAGATATCTGTATTTTGTTTAATAAGAACTTACTTAACCTACCTATATGGTATTTTACAGCTAATTTTTGTGATTAATTATTATTATAAACAGTGGTAACAAACAGGTAAGTATGTCATTGTTTATTATTTTTTAACATTTAGTATAACTCCTGAATAGTTGAAAAAAATTTGAAGATTTAAAAGAAAAGATAAATTAGGTATCAAAACCAATAATTTGCTTCAGTGATGATTTATCTGATATAATTAATGCAAACCATTGCCCAAATAATTTGTTCATCCAAACTTGGTCACTCTCATACTACCTATATTATTGTTTTAAATTCTGTTAGCTGCCATGGATTGCTTAGSTCTCAAATAAACTGAAGTTTTTTTTGTATGTGTTAAATTTTGAATACAGCAATGTTTATTTTTTCACTTGGAATTTTCTACCTATACCATTTTTAGAACTTTAACAATTTTACAATGGCTATGTATACAAATGYGTGTTCCTGGGTAATAATTGCAATCCAGGAAAATAATTTTATTTTTTAATTAAAAAAATACATTTTTGAAAGAACAATAATTATGTGCGATTACATTATGTTATACCTATTTGTTTTTAGGTGATGTTGTGGCCATTGACGAACCTTACATTTGTGGGCCTATTTCAGATAATACAGAAGTTTGTCATTATAATGGTTGCCTAAAGTTGGACTTGGCTCTTTATCCCTGTCCAAAATGTTTATTGGTATATTTTTTTTTTTAATCTCTAACACAAGTTATAATTACCTATATAATGTTATGGAAATTTTAACATTAACAAAATTGTTCTAAACCAAATACTTGTATTAGTGCCTAATGTACTAAAACATTTTAATTTTACGACAAATAAACAAAAACAAAAWAAAGGCGGAGAAAACAAATGCCTGCCTCCTCTTAAGTATTCAATATTTTGTAAAACGATTATTAGTGTTAACCTGAAATAATTTTAATCATTCYGAGTTCTRACTATACCTACAGAATATTTCTTTACAAATTACCTAATGATTTTTTTGATTTATCTGCTAATATAGGTATGTCTGTAATAAAAATCTACATTTCTACTATGTATACCTATTATTATACATCTAAAATTAAAAATTAATAAATACAAAATATCTTAATTGTTAATATACATTTTCAGGTTTATTACTGCAATAAAGACTGTATGAATAAAGCCAACGAAGAAGGACACTATTTGGAATGTCCAATTATGTGTTTCATCAAATCAACACCAGGAATAACAAGAATTAATGAACTTGCAATGAAGTGGTTTTTAAAAGACTATTTGAAAATGGGGTTAAAAAAATATTGTTCATTAGTTGATAACTTTTTTAAATCTAAAATTGATCCTCTAACAAGGGGTTTTGATGAGACAGGTCAATATAAATCTGATAACTTTTTAACTGCTTATTCTTTGGATAGTAAGGAAAACAAATTGTCGATAGACGTTTTGTTTTTTTTTAACTGTATTGCTGTTGATATGTTGCAGTATTTGATATTAAGTGGCTTTAAAATTCCAGAATGTTATATAGGTACTGTGGGTGCTTCTTTGGTGCATATAATCATTGTTTTAGATTTAAATTGTAGAAAGTTAAACATCAATGCCCCTACTATATCTTTTCAAGAAAAGCGTCAACTTACTCTTACAATAGCATTAACTTTGTATCCAACCATATCTTTATTCAACCATTCTTGTGATCCAAATATAAAACGAAGTGGAGAATTATCTGATAGAATAAGAGTTATGAAGGCAATTCAACCAATTCCCAAAGGAACTCAGGTGATTATATAGATATTATTATTATTTTACAATTTTTTGTTTGTCATATTATGATATTTGAAGGTAGCATGAATTGCAATAACAATTACTCAAAACTTTAAAATTCAAATGAATTGGTTTTATTTTTATCTTTTTTTTGTGACACTGAGTTAAAGAGTTGATCTAATAATGATAAACACCATTGTTTATCATATGAAAATTCAGCATACATCTACACATTAACACATTATTAATTTGATGTTAGGTCTAGTTGTAAGCTACTATTTGTTAATTTTTTAATTATAAATTGTATAATGTAGTAGAAATATAATATAATTTAAAATTGATTGCATTATAATAACACAAATGCTAATTTCACCTCTGTGGTCATTGTGGTCACATGCTACTTTTTGCTTTTACAACTTAAATAAATAAGTACTATAATAATAGACATTTTTAATAGAAAAAAAAAATTATGGGGGTGGAGTTGCCGAGCGGACTAAGGCGTCGGTTGCAACGCACGCAGTTGCCGGTTCGAATCTCGGTCACGGGCGGCATCGCTCTTTGGGCATTTCGCGATGTCTGGAGAGTGAGGCCGCCGGCCCCCAACCGAGCATGGCAGAAACCCACTGGTGCCCATTCAAAATTCTGCCAAAAACCCACGAGTGAAAACYTTACAGTACCTTCCCCCATAGTTCCCCAGGCTAATGACCTCAGTTGTCGAAGCCCTAACCATAAAAAAAAAATTATAAATTATAACACAAAAATACCCTAAGACTATTGTGTAATAGTAATAAATAATAATGAACAAGAGCTGCAGTAGCATCACAGTTGGGGTGTGATTGTCACCGTTGTCTATAGAAATTTATAATGTATTCTTGCACTAAAAAATAACATTTGTATAAGGTTTACATAGAAATTGTGGGAATAAACTTTCTAAATGTACGCACTTGACGGTTCTAATTTTTATTTTCCCTTATTTTACATTTGTAAATAGTAATATTAGTCTTTATTGGTTTGATGATAAAAGTAATGAATGACAATATCAAACTATTATTTTTATTTTTGCACGTTATATAAAATGTATAGGCACTTATAATATATAATTTATATTAATTATAGAAACAATTAGATTGTAAAATAAATAATAATGTCTTTGTAATAATATCTGGCATTACACATCTCTGTTTATGTACATTGCCTGATATATCTAAAATAAAACAGAAATTTAATAGGTATGTTGAAACAATTTTTTTTTTTTGTAACCTTGTTTTTTGATTATAATATGTTTATCATTAGAGTATCTATTTTATTTATAAATAGTTAGRAAATTAAATCATTAAAATTAACACCTAATGTTTCTTGTATCTGTTGCTRTCTAGTTGTTTGGTACTTATGGAATAATCTTTAAAGGACAAGATAAAAAATCAAGACAAGATCTTTGCAACAAATGTTTTTACTTTAAATGCTATTGCCAGCCTTGCATAATGAATTGGCCAACATGTCATTATATACCTAATCGTCTTTCTACATTGTATGTTATGTAACTTAAATTTTTTAATTGTCTTATATGTTTAAATATTAAATTTTATTATTTATATATGTTTTTAGAAATATTTTGAACCCTAGTATGGCAGATATTGTGTCATCGGAATGCAAAAAGTTTGTGGAATTTACAAAGTCGGTGAAATTGGAAGATTGTTGTCAGCATTTAAATTATTTATATTCATTTATTAAGCTATTGTTTGATAATGTAAAACGGCCATTTGAATTATATGAGGATTGTCTTGAAATGATAAGTATTGGTCACACCATAAGTTCCAATGAAATATACTTCAGTGATATATAAGTAAATATTAATTGATATCTTTATAATAAGTTAATTAATAGTTAAATAATTCTTAGTTATGTTCAAATAGTAATTTGTATTCAGCTATTCTTATAAGTGATTTTTTATGATTTAAACAAGTTTATACTGTTTTTTTTTTTTTCTTTAAATCAGATTCATAAATTTTATTTTACTGTCTAAATTATTAACATTATATTATTATACTTTTATTGACTATAATATATTGTTTAAATTTCTTACAATTAAAATAGAAAATTTGTGGTTAACATGTATGATACTTCAGTCAGGACTTTTACTAGTCATATCAGAGCTGTACCAATACTACCAACATTGCATTGACTTAAGTATTAGAGTAAAATTAGATTATGAAGTTAGATTCAATGACATTGAATCATTAGCAAACTATATATTAACCTTTAGTGGTATGGTTAACATCTAGAAACCATGATGTACTCACATATATTTTAGTATCTACTCACTTTTTTGCCCTTTATAATATGCAAAAGATATAATTATTATGTGATAGTAAATAYTTTAGTTTACTGTTATATGCTTATCATGAAGCATCAATCCATCCTCCCAGCCTTAAAAAAATTTCTACCATGACACCTAGGCGTCATACCCCGTATACCTCCCCACTATTAACTTGTCGTTGGTATTGTTTTGAGTGCAGAGATCGTCTTGTTACTATTTTGTTTATTGGTAGCCACTGGAAAAAATGATGATAGGTTTACTAATGGAAAAAATCTACTTATTGTGCTTAAAAAGTAAATATAAAATGTACATGCATTTAAGCGCTTTTAATATGTACATATATACACTTTTTTCTC